ATCTATCTATCTATCTATCGAATTTTATCTATCTATCTATCTATATCTATCTACTAATCTATTATCTATCTATCTATCTAACTATATCTATGCTATCTATCTATCTATCTATCCTATCATTCTATGTCGCTCTCTCTCCTCTCTTCTCTCTCTTTCTCTCTTCCTGCTCTCTCTCTCATCTCTCTCTCTCTCTCTCTCGTGTTCTCTCTCGTCTCTCTCCTCCTCCCCTCCTCCTTATCTCTCTCTTCGTCGCTCGCTCTCTTTCCTTCTGGGATCTATCCTATCTATCTATCTATATTTCCTGCAGGTTAGACACAGGTAAATGAGGACAAAGCAGCGGGCGTAGCTAACTCATTTGACTTTTTTTAAACCATTTATTTTAAAGTGATTACTCACCGTAAATAGTAAAAGAAAAAAAGTCCTCTTTTTTCCCAAATATAATAATTCTGTGTCACTTTGTTATGGTCTTAAATTTGCTGCGATTAAACTTTCTAGTTTTATCTAGTATTGTTCGAGTGTGAACAATCACACTCGTGACTCATATCATAGCCCATGCCAAGCAATTAAGGGGCCTCAGCGTGCGGGTTTTTTGTTGTTTGGCGGTTGACCGTTGGCAGTTCGCCGTTTGATCGTGTAATATGGTAGTCTTAACCTTGCTCTGGGGGGAATGCTTACCCGCCTTCCCTTCGTCCCTCCGCTGGCCTACTTGGTCAGACCTGGGTAAAGCGAAAACTTCACCGATTGGCACGCGAAAAACAGACGTAAGAGATCGCCGGCCAGCTATTCTATCGTTCGCCCCTTTTCTCTCTCTTTTCTATATATATATATATATATATATATATATATATATATGAGTAGAGCTATATATATTCGCTCAGTCTGGCGTAGACTCATATACATAACAGTATGCGGCAGAGGAGTGACAGCAGTGTTCCATTACCGGCAGTTGCTTGATTCAGTCGCCAGCATAATTATTCTTGTCATGTATAATCGCGGCAATAGCTGTAACTTGTTTTATAGATTGACTAACGTCACGTAAATTATTATTATGGTATGAAATTTATTACAAACTTTGTTGCTATTTTTTACATTAAGAGTAATAAGTAACTTAAAACGTATGTTCATAATTGCTTTTACCTGATAAGATTGTGTTGTCTCTGAATCAATTGTTCTCTAAATCAATGTTCTCATCAGATCATTGTTTCTCTAATCAAAAAACCTGGACGATTTGATAGTTCGGTGTTCCTGACATTAATTTGCTTGCTATGCTATGATTTTGAGTCAGCGAGTTGTATTTCAGCATCGAACAGATTATAGTAAAGATAGGAAGCAATTTAACCCATAAAAAAATGAACAGAGATTTTCTTATAGTTTGTGAAAAAGTGGAAGATGATTTTTTATTTTTACCATTTACGGTGACAGCATTTTGTTAAACCGCGCGTGATGCTTTTGACTCACGGCCAGTACGAAGGGTGCGTCGTGTGCGACAGTACTCAATCCTCCTGGCTCGATACACGCTCCTTAAGCGGAGCTCTGTCTCTTGCCAGGTGTGTTCCATCGTCAGCCGGAATCTCTGTGGTATCCGTCTGTCCACGTCCTGCAACCGCCCTGTTGTAAGCAGCCGCCTAGAAGGCCGAGGCGGGTTAAAAGCATAAGTAACACATGCAGGCAGTTACGCACACACGCACAGCACACACACAGCACACACACACACAACACATCACACACACGCACGCACAACACACGCAGGGCACGCACCACACCACCACACAGCACACACGAACGACACGACACACAACGCACGGAGCACACGCGCAGGCACACACATCACACACACATCCACACACACACCACATGCACAGACCCAGCACGCGACCGCACACCGCCAGCACGCAACACACACGCGCTGGCAGGCGCAGACAGCGGCACTCTACGCACGCACGCACACCCCCACTCTCTTCTCTTCTTCTCTTCACCAGCACACATTACGACAATGGACACTGCACAGCACCGCGCGATCCGCTCACTCTGCTGGTTCCGCACCACGCGACGGCAACGCAACGCACACACTCACCAAACACGCACGGAGTCACGCACACACACTACGCACACTCCCACACACACCACATCACAAAGCACATCACACACACACGCACGGGCAAAAAAAAAAAAACCGGGATCAGCACGCGACAACACAGCACACGTCAACGCACGCACGCACGACCACGCACACACACACACAACACGACACCAACACAAAGCCGAGGCTGCGGTTGTCGGAAGGCACATCATAAATATTTATGACTATGTCTAAGATTCAATAACCTCTGAGTCACTTCAAAAGTTATGACAGCTTTGTGGAATTTATGATGTTCGTGATCAAAATGTTTCAGACCAGCGTATCGCCCTGGGGGCGTTCTGGCCGGTGAAATATGTCGCGGAAACTGTATAGCAGTGTGTGTTAGCCAGTGCGGTACATTGCATGTAAAAAATATCGGTCACACAATGTTTGTGATGACGCTCTTATAGCCAGACCACGACACGCACACAGCTCACGTACCACATCACTCACGTCACTCACTCACTACAACACACTAACAACACACATCACTACACGTCACTAACGCTCACAGACACACAACACACACCGCGCACCACACACCACAACTCGACTCACTATCCACTCACACATCACACACAGCAGCACACGCACACACACACACAACACACACACCACACACGGCACACCGCACACGCATGCACGGCCAACACGCACACACACACGACACACACACACACTACACACGCACCCACACACTCACACACAACTCACACACACACACACACACACACACACACACACACACCACCACACACCCACATCACACACACTCACGAGCACGCATACACACTCACACACACTCACGTACACACGCACGCATACATGCGCGCACATAAACGTACATATATGGTCGTGGGGTGATTACGGCTCGAATAATTTCGCTGGAATCATAATTACATCATAATTTACTAATTAGCTCATTACCGCCCGGACTAATAACATTCGTCCTAATAACATTCGTGGCCTACGGGAGTGGAGGCGAGGGGGCGGGAGGGGAAGGAAGAGGGGAGGGGAGGGAATATGAGGGAAGGGTGGGGAGAGGAGGGGAGGAAAGGTGAGAAGAGGTGAGACGAAGGGCAGGTGAGAGAATGTGACGCGAGGGAGGCGAGAGAAAGTGGGACGAAGGAGAGGTGAGAGAAGGTAGCACGAAG